GTGCGTGCGTGCGTGGGTGGGTGGGTGGGTGTGTGTGTGTGTGTGTGTGTGCGTGCGTGCGTGCGTGCGTGCGTGGGTGGGTGTGTGTGTGTGTGTGTGTGTGCGTGTAGGGGTGTGCGCGTGCGTAGGGGTGTGTGCGTGCGTAGGGGTGTGTGCGTGTGCAGGGGTGTGTAGGTGTGTAGGGGCGTGTAGTTGTGTAGGGGTGTAGGTGTGTAGGGGTGTGTAGGTGTGTAGGGATGTGTAGGGGCGTAGGGGTGTGTAGGGGTGTAGGGGTGTAGGGGTGTGTAGGTGTGTAGGGGTGTAGGTGTGTAGGTGTGTAGGGGTGTAGGTGTGTGGTGTGTAGGCGTGTAGGTGTGTAGGTTTCTAGGTGCGTAGATGTGTGTGTGTGTGGTGTGTGTGTGTGTCTGTGTGTCTTTGTGTCTGTGTGTCTGTGTGTCTGTGTCTGTTTGTGTGTGTGTCTGTGTGTCTGTGTCTCTGTCTCTGTGTCTCTGTGTGTTTGTGTTTGTGTCTGTACGTATGTGTGTGTGTGTGTTTGTGTGGCTGTGTGTGTGGCTGTGCGTGTGACGCGTGTGCGTCTGAGTAGCGTGACGTGCCGCGGCATGGCGCGCCATGCCGTGCCACATCGTGCGGTGCGGACCGCGTGCGTGCATGCGTGCGTGGGTAAATGCGTGCGCGTGGTTGCGTGTGCGCGTGCGCGCACGGGCGTGTGCGCATGCTCGTGTGCGGGTGCACGCAGGCACACGCGCGCAACGGTGCTGACGGTGTGCAGTGTGCCCCTGTGCCGGTGTCCTGGAGTGCCGGGGTGCCTGCGCCGGTGTGCCCGGGTGCCGGGTGGCGGTGTGCCTTTGCGCGCGTGCCGCGGGTGTTGCGTTTGCCACAAGCTCCGCGTGCGCGTTCGCAGCGTGTGCGCGCATCGTCGAGTGCGTGTGCGTGGGCGTGCGCGTGCGTATGTGCGTGCATATGTGCGTGCATATGTGCGTGCGTGTGGATGCGCGCGCGCGCGCGTGGTGGCTGGATACGTGGATGGGGGGCTGGGGGGCTGGGCGGGTGGCTGGCTGGCTGGCTGGCTGGCTGGGCGGGCGGGTTCGCCATGCGTGGGTACATGCGTGGGTGCAGTGAGTGCCTGTGTAAGTGCGAGCGAGTGCGTGTGGGTGCGTGGCTGCGGACGTGCGTGCGTGAGCACGCACGCGCGTGTGCGTGGGTGCGTGGGTGCGTGGGTGCGTGGGTGCGTGGGTGCGTGGGTGCGTGGGTGCGTGGGTGCGTGGGTGCGTGGGTGCGTGGGTGCGTGGGTGCGTGAGTGTGTGTGTGTGTGTGTGCGCAGGATGGTTGTAGGAAAAGGTGGATTTTGAGTACGTGCGGGTTTAGGAGCTTGGGTGCAGAGCAGGGTTGTGGTGAGAATTCGGATGGGATCAGGGTGGGCTTGGGGGGTTAGAGTGGGTTTAGGTTCAGGAGGGAGCTTTGGGGTCGGTTTAGGGTAGTGGTTTCGGGTGGGCTAAGCAAGTTTAGGGAGGATTAGCGCGATCCTCGGACCGACGAGCGATCGACTGATCGACGATGCACCAATCGAAGCAGTGCCTCGACAGCATTTGTTGCGCACTTTGGGTTGTACATTCAATGGCGTGATGCGCGTGTGATGCCGTGTGCTCATGCTGACCAAATCTGACAAGTTGAATCGGATTGAATGCGCACTTTCATTGGCCAAATTCTGAACATGGATTGTCGCGACGGCTCCGAGCTGTGAGCCTACATTTAACCTGTCAGCCTGGGTAAACTTGCCTTTCACTGCCTTAGGGCACTGACGTCGTTTCCCCGGTCGACACTCGCAGCTGAGCCGCCGGTGAGCAAAAAAAATGATCTGAACTCGTCTGTGGGCGGCCACTGGGCTTTCAGGGTCTCACTGCCGAACAGCCAGCGACCCAGAGACAGCCTTCCGAGCATCGCAAGCAAGCACGAGCTTAAACAAAAGGACAGCCAGCGCCTCAGAAACGGCAGCGCCCTTAGAAACCTGCAACCCACAAAATGCAAACACTCCACAAAATACGGGAACAGCCTGTCCAACTGGTTGTCATCCAGCCGCTGGAATAGAAGAGGATGTATGTTGCGAATCTCTTTGGCAACGACCTGCACAAATCGGGTCAGATTGTTGCAACTGTCACTCAGGGGCTGTGACGCCATCTTCCCTCTTGAAATGCGTCTACGCTCTGAAGGCCTTTTCCAGCGCGCGGGTGTCAGTCATCAACTTCTGTGGTACCCGCCGTCCACCTGCAGCTCAGGCTTGCAAGCCAACCTGCCTACCTTAGACCTGAGCCAGCCACGCTTTTCCGTGGTCAGTGCTAATTGGCGGCACCTTTCCACCCGAGAGCTGCTGGGTAAATGAGCCGAGCACAAACACGCCGTTACCCACGTGTCCGAGGAGCGGACCGGTAGTACAACGGAAGCACTCGGCCAAGAGAGTTCGGGTTTGCCTTGTCCCCAATCAGGCTCAAACTGCTCACACACACAGGCATTGAAAATGAGTTCGTCTCAACATGTGCTCGCTTCAAAACCAATGTCAAAGACACGCCCAAATCAAGGCAAACAGTCATCTGCCGGACGCCTTGCCTCTCTGGAGCCCTCATTCACCTCCCCCCCCCTCCTCTGCTGCCCAAACTCAAAAGCTCACCTCTTCTTTGCAATCAATGTTGGCACAATATGGAGGCACGCACCATGCGTTCGTCCCTACCCTCACGCCGGCTCCCGCCATACAGGGGCTGATCAAAAAACTCGCACGGGGCACCTTCTTCGTGCCGCCGGGGCGACCTGGCCAAGGCCCACCGGCCCCAATGGCACCTGGCGGCTGAGACAAACCCGGCGCTCCCTTCCCGTGCCCCAAAAATCCCTCCAGAGCCTTTGTGTGGTGCGCCGGCGAAACCTTCAGAAAGCGATGCTGCGGTGTTCCGCTTCCTGGGCGTGCAGCGTCCGATCCAACGACTGCAAGTCGTCAACGCATGTCTCCTCAGCCGAGGGTCTTCTCTGCAGCGAGGTCTGGAAGGCTAATGGTGCGAGAATTCATGGCGGAGCACCAATGCAATACAGGCGGAGATGACTTTTGATGTTAATGAGCTCTTAGTAGCTTCGTCAACCTAGCAGTTGTTCATAGCCGCACCCCCTCCTGACTCCCTGAATGCCCCCCCAACCCCGTACAGTCCTACCTACTGCTTGGGCACACAAACATGGCAGACTACAAGATATCAGCTTTAGACCCCTTCACGTATTCACCTATGGAGTCTATAGAGAGGAGCCGACTTGCACCGCAACTCCTTCACTTCCAACGGCTCGCTGCCGAGTCATCTGCAAGCGCCTGGCCATTCGGCAGGCGCCTTCCTCTCGATGCATCCCGGAACTCCGGTTGCGATTGGGTTGCCCGTTCGGGCAGACTTAATTCAAGGCGGGCGCTAACTGCCGCCTGTAGCGGGCACCAAAACCAGGGTGAAACCATGAACCTCAAGTCTTGGAGTTGAGAGCTCCTATTGGCAGACCCTTCTGCCGAGTCGTACAAAACCCCTTCACCAGCTCGGCTGGGCAAATTCCAAGAAAAAGGCTACAGAGCGCAGTGCTCTGAAGAGCCGACGAAGGTCAAATCTTGCGATTGCAGTCCGGCCATAAATGGCATCAAGGATATATGCTGCTACCTCAATAGTGATTTCATACCAGATCCCATCGTCCCCATCGTCAAGGCTGGGTCAGCCCTTTGAAGATCCTGGCACTCATACATCAAGGCTCACGGTTCGGCACGGTTTCACGATTGGAGCCATGGCCTGAGGTGCATCCCACAGAATGCCGATCGTGATCATACTCCTCGGCTTCGGCCCCTGGAAGCCCAGCAAAGAGACCCGTGACATGCCGTGACATGCCCTTCAGAACTTCCCGTCGGTGCTTTCCCGTCGGCGCCGGGCTGTTTCAACGTCTTCTTCTTCTTCTTCTTGTCGGTCGGCAAGCCTGCACGAAGACGGCAAGACGGCACGACGGCAAGACGGCAAGACGGCAAGACGCGCAAGCAATCTTGAACCGAGTGCTGAGGATGGCACTGAGTGGGACCATGCCCTCAAACCCGCTGCAGAATTGCTCCACCTAGGCAAACATCATGGGGGCTCCAAACGTCTGCAAAAGCTCCCTCACATTTGGGAAAAGATATGGGCCAGCGAACAGCGCTGAACAACACAATGCGCACGCAAGGTGCAAGCTCCAAACCAAGCCTGAATCACGCCCGTGCCAACGAGATCGTCGGAGCTGTAGGGATCCTTGGGGGGTTCAAGAAACACAGTCAGCTGTGGGCACCCTGAGTGCAGGGAAGCTGCGTAGTCCCAAACAGAGATTTCCAAAGCCACTTCCCCGTTGTAGGCCAAGTAGCCTCCAGCTCCCAAGAAGCGGAAACCGGCAAATTGCGAAGCTCCAAGCGCAGGCATTGAGAACTCTGCCCGGGCCTTCACAGTTCCAAATGGGGTCGCCACCCGCATCTTGCAGCACACTCGTACCTTCGCACAGCCCATCGTCAGCTTACGCACCTCTCGCCGTTTTTTCGCGGCTGTCTCTCGGGGGCACGGAACTCAGACTTGCTGCCTCGGAACCTGACGCAAAGCACGGGGATCGCTGGCCGCCTTTGCCTTCGCGCCTGAGGATGGCATAGGGGTCCAGCTTGTCAAACCACCCGCCGCCACTCAGGTTCAGGGCATTTCGCACCGTGATGTGCGCCTGGTTCCAAAAGCTCTCGAATACAAATGAGTGCACATTGAAGCATCTCTGCACGTTCTGGCCAAGCCTTGGCTCCTCGATAAGCAACACGGAATTTCATAGGGTCAACCGCTTCCTCCACCTTGTTGTTGAAGTACACACCTGTGCCGGGAGCTTGTGGCCTCACTTGCCTGCCCAACCGTCCAACGGTCCAACCAGAGAATCAGAATCGCGGCCCCGCCTTTGCGCATGTTGTCTGCCTGATCTTCTGTCTCCCATCGGTCAATCAACATCTTGATGATGCCCTGGGAGCTCTGTCGATGCGCATCTGGTGGTTGTATTTTGGTCCTCGCCTTGATGATCTGCTGCTTGTCAAGTGTAGATCCTCGGCAAGTCTGCAAGAATTGCTTCTCCTTCTGGCTCTTCTTGACCTCAGTTCCAAGGGCCACGCGCACGGGTTCAGAAAACTTAAGCGCGGATTCGGAAACTTGGAAACTTGGCGGACTTGATTCCGAAACTCGGCGCTCCGACAGAGAAACTTGAGGGCAATGATGCAAAAACTTGGATGCAAAACCAGACTAACGTCTTGATTCAGGAAATTAACAGCAACCCGTAGGCAATGATTCAATTGGATCTCATCGGTTGGAGAAATGGTTATAGAAACATGCCAACCGGTTTTCGAATTTTGTGGCGTGGACTTGGAAACCTCCATCCGAGACTTGTCAGTGGAATATGTTGATCGCACACATCGGGCCACGAGAGTTTGCACTGATGGGTGACACCGTAGGCCACTTGGCAGCCGTCTGGTGCCCTTGCGCATGTGTTCTTATCATTTGGCAAGCAGCTATGCAGCGCAGTGCGGATGCACGTGCGGCAGTGCTGCGCAGGCGCACTTATGTGCAGGGCTGCGCGAATGCACTTGAGCAATTGGTCTCATCATTTCGCAACGGCAAATGCAGTCCTGCGAGGGTTCACTTGAGTGGGCGAGCAGCCAGGCAGAAACACAGCGCTGTGCGGGTGCACGTGAGCGGGTGGTACGCAGTGCTGCGCAAGTCCTGATATGCGCTGTGCGCGAGTGGGTATTCTTCCTCATTGGGACAAAAGATATGCAGAACTGCGCCGGTGCACTTGTGCGGGTGGTCTTAACATTTGGCAAGGAGATACGCAGTGCTGCCCTGGCGCGTTTGAGCGAGTGTTCATTTTAATCAATTGGCACGCAGACCAGCTGCTATCATTTGGCAAGCAGATACGAGTTGCTGCGCGGGTGCGCTTGAGTGGGTGGCACCCAAGTGGCTGAAGCTCTCGCGCCAGCCAAGTTTCCAATTCGGAGTAGCCAAGTTTCTGAATCGGGGCAAGTGTCTGAATCGGTCAATGTTCAGTTTCAAACCTCAAATTGCTGCAGGACAGTACACAAGTTGACAAACTGGGAATGCCTATCAGATACTATCAGAAAATGACCACTCACCATAAGGGACACTCTTCAACCACCTCTAGTGTTTTAGTCTGGCCCAAGCTAAGTCCGTTGCAAAGTCCACGAACCTCTTCTTGGATGCCTCCGCCACAACTTATCCCAAATCATGGCACACACGTGCAACGCTGCCTTCAGCAGCACAATTTTGTCATTGGTGCCTGCTGCGGTGATCAGGCCAACATACATTTCTCGCCACACATGTCCCGCAGCCTCTCTGGTAGCCACCGAACATGCGAAAATTTGATAGCTCCTCAGACACCCAGCTTGAACATCACGAGAGCTGCTCCAGCAAATGGCTGCGCCGCAAACCGCTGCAGCCGTGTAGCCAGCGCAAAGGCTGTCTGATTCGCAGACCCCTCCAATGTTTTCATGAAGATCGGGCCAAGCCTGACTCAGTTGCACAATGCTAGCGATACATCAAAGCAAACTCGTCCAGCTGCGTCGCATGATCGTCTCATGACCCCAAGCTTCATGGGCGCCGAGATTGAAGAGCACCTGACTCCGAAAAGGCAATCTGCCAGAAGCAATACTAGACTTGCAGGGCAGCTTGTCCAGAGTTAGGGCGGGGGTTGACAACGCAGCGTGTAAGCTGCTGCAACTGAAGGGGGTATCGTTGCAGCCAAAAAAAAAAACACCTGTTGGAGTGGGGGGTCCTTGGTCACTCACTACAGTGACAAACGCCCCAAGCGACACACGATCGCCCATGAGTGCGCGAGACCATGGACAAAGCAACCACTGTAGATGCATACTGGAGCCTGGTTCTGCCAGGATCTTTCTTTTGGCTTTTTGGTGAGGGCACTGATCTTCTCGTAGTCATATTTGACCTTGGCCATGCACGAGCTTCAGGGCTCTGGAACCACTGCCGCTTGCCAAATTTCGCCGGGCGTCGCCGAAGTACAGCCTGCCTGCAGGCTCTAACCTGAAATGCGGAACAAGGCCACAACCCAAGGCAAGCTCAACATAGGCTGTGTCAAAGGGCGACCCAAAAAATGACAAACCCGCACATAAAAGTCACAGAAGCGCGGCCGCCTAGTTGCACATGGAATTTGCATCAAAGCAACAGCTGCTCGTCGTCCTTGACTGCTCCCAAGGATCGCTTTGGCCTTTGAAGATCCACCTTGCCATACCAGCCGTCATGCCTCAGTTTGTGCCCCAGCCCCCCCCTTCCCCAGTTTGTTTTACAAGGAATGTGCGACCCTTCAAGGAATCAGCAGACCCAGCTCAGCTGCAAGTCCGCCACTTTCACCGTGCAGCTTCCGCACAAGTCATCCGCTGAAAACTTGTCATAGTCCATAACCTTGCCACATACAGCATGACGATGGCAAGCAACAGACACATCACCTACAGTTTGTTTTGGAATTAAGCCAGGCAGCGATGATTTCCAACTCCTTAGCTTCCCCACACTGCAAGTGAGTCATATGCTAGGGCACTTGCTGTCACCAAATTGAACTTCTGTTAGGCATCCTCCTCATCTGTGTAGGTGAGGACGCCCTGATACCTAGTCACATCGCCCTCTCACTCGCAACATCTCGCTAGCTGCACTTCCCTGCGCTCAGACTACAAACCAATGCAGGCTTGGCCACTCAAATTGAGGATTTACACCCACGTTCCACAAGACAGGCGTCTGGAAGCGCTTGAACTCACCCATCCTTGGAACAAAAGCATTATGATGGCGATGACTTTGTGGCTGCGTCTGCGGGCCGGGCTTTACAATGCAGTACGGGTCCAGCTTGTCGAAAATCGAGTCACCTGAACTACATGCTTGCCAGCTGAATAGTGCAGGCTTTCTGGCGCGACCGCGTAGTGCTTTTTCTTCCCTCGTTTGACTGCCCAACCATGTCAATATCCATTCTTAAAGTGACATGCTGCTGGCCGAAACCTGCGTCAGTGCCATGGGCAAGACCAGCAGGCATGGCCAAAGGCCTGGCTTGCCCGAATGGCTAGTGCGTGAGATCACGCCAAGCGCAGCCAGTGAGCCGGCTCTTCGCCTACCATCACCGCTGCCTTGCTTCCTTGATGTTGCGCAGCTCGATGGCGAGAGAATCAGCCCCAGCGTCCTTGGCTCAGTATCATACCCAACCGGAGGATCTCGCGCTCCAAAAAGGAACAACCGCTCAACCGGAGAATAAACTAAAATAAAACAAAACAAAAGACCTGGGCCAGTGCGAAAGAAATCCGGGGATAAGCTAGTAGAAATCAAGTCTCAGTGGACAGCGCTTCATCCGCCGTTCCGTAAATAGTTAGCTTCGGGCTAGGTGCCATAGACAATGGCACCAGTGGCCGCTCCACTTCGTCCAGCATCCCGGCTCCGTAGGAGCCATCCTCGTTGATGACCAGCGCAGGCCCGCGGCCCATGCCCAGAAAGCCGCTTTGGGCTTTCTCTTTCTCTTCAGGCAGCAGCAGGACCTGGGTGTTCAAAGTGGGGTCTCCACTGCCCAAGAGCATGTTGTTTTCAGGCAGCGGCGGCATGTAGGCCTGCATCTCGGGGGACACCAGCTTGTAGGGCCCCCTGGCCTCCAGGCCCAGCTTTTGCAAGAAGCTGCTGGCCTCCTGCATGTTCTCCACCGCCACAGCAACCAACTCCACGGGGTCCCGACGATCCTCGACGTATGCCCGCACCAGCACCCCGGCGGGAGACTGCACCGCATAGTAACCATAGCCATCAACTAGCACGCCCCCGCTGGCAATGACACGCGAGATTCGGATCAAGGCTGGCGTGGTCACTTGCACGAAGCTCAATCGAGGCTTGCCCTGGCTCGTGCTGCCGCCGCCACGCGTGCCTTTCGCTGGCATTATCTCAATTGCAAAGTACCCACCCTCGTCACCACCGACAGTGGGCGGCCCAAAGGCAACCACGGCGCCGCCGCCTGGAAGCGATGCATAACGCTGCATTCCAATGGCTTCGCACCAGAACTTCTCTTCCGCGGCCACGTCTGAAGTCTCAACGGCAAGTCGCCCAACCAAGCGGATGTTTTCATCTGCTTTTAGCTTTTGCTCCAAATCTTTCATGTATATCTGATTGAGATCAAGACGCTGCAACTCATTCTTCCAAAAGTCAACCATCTCAGGCTCACCGCCCTCTGATTGTCCTTTCTCAATTAGCTGACCCGCGGCCTTCTCTGCAGCTTGGAGACGCGCTTCCGCTTGCTGGAGCTGGGTCTCGGCATTCTTCTTGGCACCCACAGTCGGTCGGGCTGGACAATTCGTTGCTGCATCAATGATTGCCACACAAGTTGGTGGAGAGATTCTGCCATCGCGTGCCTTTGCTTCCAAGGGGCTAGACACCATGGAAAGTACAAACAAAAGCAATGCCAAAACGCTTCCAGTTGGTTGAGAAAGTCCAGCATTTGTTTCTGACAAGGAAGGACCTGTGCGGTGATGTGTTGAGGAGGTCCGATGCGCAACTCGAGGAGATGAGCTGCGTGGTACGCACCACGTGGATTGCCCAAGTAGCCCCATGCCAAGCACCCCTGCCAGCACAAGCCAACGACATGCCGATGTCATGGCCAGTGACTCGGTGCGTCTTTTTTTAGGTTCGCTAGTGTTGACTTCAGTGTGTTGCCACAGGCGCCTTGTTGAAAAGCCGGTGAACCAAATTTGAGCATGCGCATGTTCTGTGCTGCCATCTGACTGCCTCACCTTGAGCAGACAGCTACCCACCAGGCTTGATCGACATGGTTGAGACCTCTCGAAAACTGGTTGTGCAAGAATCCAGCTCCAACCAGTGATGCAAGAGCCTGCAAGCTTCTCAGCACGGTCGAGGAAAATGCCTAGTGCCACGTCGCTTGATCACACGCTAGCCAATTCCCACTCCCTCTGCCAGAGACGCCACAAGAAAAGTCTAGCATCGTTGCCAGGGCGCGTATGCGCTTCTTCTTGGGCGGCAGAGCATCCAGCTTCTCTGTCAGCTTGATATCCCCTCGGATCTCGATGCCTGGGAGTTGTGAAACCCTCGCACGGGCGACTTCCAAAGGCAAGAAGTCAAGGCAGCCACCTCCCTTGGACACCATGATGACACTGTCATCCGCTGGCGGGTCGCTCAGAAGCTCCTGAAACCGCAGAGGGCTGGTGACACTCAGAATCAGAACTGATGGTGCTCGAACTGCCACGGAGATTTGTGAATAAAAAGCCTCCTACTTGAGGGAAATTGCCGGGTGGCTGAAAACTGACTACGGCTCAATAGTCAGAGTCCTGCCCGGGTAGCAGGTGAATCTGAGTGGCCACCTGTTGCTTTCTTGAAATTCATTTGCGGTTTGCTCTTACGATGCCAGCCTTTGCTAGCTCTTCCAGTGCATGCTTCACTGCACCGGACTGCTTCTCCTGCACAACACACGGTCAAACTGACAGTCACAGATGCGTCACTTCAGTGTGACAGCTGCAGAGCTGGACAGCTTTTGCTTCAAGTTTGTTGGCCGAATATTCGCAAGTTTGCGCGAACTCTGCTTCACTGCAATGCTTCAGTCAACACACTATCATTGTAGCGTGTAGCTATTCTTCTTTTTTCGCCACTGAAAATGACGAAGACTCATTTGACCAGTCCTCAAACAGCTTGGACTTCTCTTCGAATGTCATCGAAGCCTGCAAAGCAGCTGAAAACGCGTCGAACAAAGCACGTCATTCTGAGGCCGAAGCGAAGTCAAATTTGGCCAGGGGCCCGTTGTCGGGCAGCACCTCGCCACAGAAACGGCATAGAGACGCACACCTCCAAGCATAACATTGCAATCGAGTGGCCACTCGGGAAAGAGCGGGCGCATGGCGCATGCTTAGGGCAATCTTCCTGTTTCCAAAGGCACGGTCTGCATAAGCGGCCTGCCAAACCACAGGCCCTTGCAGGAATGCAGACAATGCAGAATCCAAGAAACAAACCTCCGGAAATCTCCAAAATTGAACAGCGCTTTGCGGTGTTTGAACAGCTGGAGATGTCCTGGAGATTGCTTCTTGGAACGGGAATGCAGGAACTCGGGCCTCTAAGACTTCGGTGCCTAATACCTCGGATCAAGGCCGAACACAAATGGGGATTGAACAGGGATTTGGAGCCCCAACAAATGCGTTCGGCCTCCGGTTGGTGCCCCCTCAAAAAGGCAAAGCTGATGTACCTACAAGAACAGATCTGCGAAATGCACTTTGTGTGCCATGTTGACGTTAGCGGCTGTTGCTTGAAAGTGTTGAGGGGTCAGCCGACGCGACAGCATTCCTAGTTTGCCAACATGCCTGCAACATGCAAGGCTTCAAGCATCGAACATTGCTGGCCCACATCTTCACAAACACAAGCTGCCGTTGCACAGAGGTGCCGGCCACCTAAAAGTCGCAACCCACGATGAGAAAAATATTCATTGGCCCAAGCTAGGCCTATCAACCGATTGCAGCATGGAAGAAACGTGGGCCCGATCAGCGAGTCAAGAGTTTGGACTTCAGGCAAGTGGCTCCGATTATACATGGTTCCTCGCACTGGGCAGCTCCTCCGACAATATCCATCATGCATTCGTCACCCAGCCTAAGACAGCAAGAAATGAAACAGTGGGCAAGCGGGGTTTCTCTGGTCGCGCCTGAAATGCCTCTCCCCAAAAATGGCGCCCTTGTTGATCTCTTGCCGCTCCCCAACGCCATTCGAGTCTACGTACAGGTTGATCTTACCTGCCGCGAAATGCTTGCCATACCTGCCTCGCAGGGTTTTGCAGGAATCCATGCCTGCCATGAGCAGAAAGGACCTTGATCCCCTTGGCCATGCTGCAGCCAGCTGCTCGCTGCCAAACAGCCAGCGGCCAACTGACAGCCTTCCATGCTGATTCCACGCGACCAACCAAACACGCCCGGCCATGCCTTAAGAAAGACATCGCACGAAGCAGCCTGGGCGTTGCAGAAGGCAATGCTAGACTTTGATCCATGGAAGACTTGCCTGTCCAGCTGCACATCATCGAACCGCTGGAACAGCAACGGGTTCAAAGCGCGAATCTCAGCGGCTACAGACCTGGTTCACAAGGATGACTGGAGCAACCATCTCAAGCAGCATCGCGTGAACGAGCTATTTTGGCCCACTACTGCTGCCCAACGCGTTTCCCTTTACCCCTTGCAGACGGGACACTTCTCCAAAGAGCGAAGCTCAGTCTGCATCTTCTGCGGAACTCTATGGCCAGTCTTCTGCATGTTCAGCACTAGCTGCCGGCACCTGACAGAACACAGCCCCGCTACTGGCCTTAAACTGTGGTGTGCTACAAATTCGTAAATGCAAGCAGGATGTGTTTGTGTTACTTCTCGTATGTCTTACACTAAGCCGCAACAGCACAGTAACCATGACCTGCCCCCTGCAAAACAAATCAGCGCTGACTGAATGACGAACGACCATATGGAAGGTAACCAACAACGCGTTGCAGAGCGCGCGCACATACGACACATAGACACCACGTCATATTATACCATGCCGTGCCTTGCCATTCCATACCAAACCATGCACTACATCACATATCACATTGCATTACATGCGATAACATTGCTGTGACATGTCATGGCACTATGTATTCGCCTCAGCCCCCCGGGCCAGTGGCCAGCACCCTCATTTTTTTTGCTCCAGCTGCCTCCAGTCCACCTGAAGCGAGCCTGGAAGCCCCAAGGCTGGGAAGCGATCAGATCCCTTCGTCTTGCCCCCCTGCAAGAACAGTCGGTCCCAGAAACCGGGCCAATCCCGATGATCTCGGTCATTTTCTGATCAATGATTGTCATCATATCATTGCGCGCTCGTGAATGCAAGAATTCAGACAGAGCCCTTCGCCTTAGCCAAGCGCAAATGAACAAATGCCTGAAAAACCACCAAACAGCTGCAACTTTCATGTTGCAACCCTGCACGCGCTTGGGCACCAAATTCCTTTGCTTGCAACCGAACGTGGTGGCAACAACACCCATTCCCTTTCTTCTCCCACTTTTATTTGTCAGTCCTGCATAGGTACTATTCGCGTTTACGATGCACAAACACTATAAAACTCTAAAATACCATATGCAACCACCCATCCCACCCACCACACCACCCACGGGGTGCGCACAAAAGAAACACCAACGTGCACACATAACTGCAGCGTGACTGCTACCCTCCCATCATACCATGCAACACTTTGACCGCAGCCACTGGCGATACCAACTGCAAGAACAGTGATGATCGAGACGGTGGCCATGACGGAGGCAATGACACCCAAGCGACAGGAGGCTCACCGGAACACAGCAGGCGCGAGAGAAGCGAAGCAGTGCGACAGCGGCAGTGGCAGCTGCTGGCAGTGGCAACAGCAAAGTCGGCGCAGCAAAGAATTGCGGCAGTCGGAAACATGCAGAGACGGAACACTTCCCCGCCTGTAGTACATTGGCATTGAGAAGGTGAGGCCCTTGGAAGTGCTCTCATCCACACCTGCCACTAACATTTCAACAAAACGAGGGAATATGGACAATGACGTCTTGCTTCCTTGTACGAAGTTTTCTTTAAGTAAACAAGCAAACAAGCACACAAGCATAAACGTCTTAAACAATGCGCTGGCAAGGCAGCACAGGACTTTTCGGCAGCTATGAGCCAGTCGTTATCGATGTCGACGACATAGGGGCCTCAGTTGAGGATGACGCATTCTCAGAACGATTGCAGCCCCCCCCCCCCACCCCGCTACAATGTGTTTTCCCAACTTTCGGCGCTTGAGGCTGGCACAACTCTCTTAAGCTTGATTCACCCAACACGAAAGCCAAGCAGCAGTGAGAGAAAACGACAATGACCCCATGGTGTCATCACGGTAAGGTGCAGCGACTTTGTCCTGAGTTGAGCACAGCACATGTGGCGCTTGCAGCAATGCAAAGCAAGATGAGGCTTACCCCTACCCACTTCAACGCACTCGTGGAGTAATCAGCCTGGGCTCTGCATGCGGTGCCACCTGTGGAGGTTGCTCCTCTCTATGTCCCGACCTCTCTTCTGACGCAGGTCGAGATAGGCTTAGCCTACCGGCCATGCCCAAGGTTGGCGAACGCTGAGATATGGATGGCTTTCTATCGCGATCAACTTCTCCTTGAGAGGTAGCTGGGTCGCCATAGCCATCACCCCATTCAATCTCACGAACTTTCTTTTGAAGCAGCTTGCGGTCTTGACGGGCCTGAGCGGATGCCTCCCTCAACGCCTGCAAGCGCTGCTCTTCTTCCAGTCTCTGTGCCTCTGCTTTGGCCGCCAGCACTCGCTTGGCACAATCTTCACCAGAGCTCGGTCGATCACGAGGCGAGTCCTCAGTCCCAGCCCCAGACCCAGAGCCATTCCGCTGCTGCAGCATCCTCCTTTCTCGGCGGGCCTCCGCAGCAGCATCTTTCAATGCTTGCATGTGCTTGGCCTCGGCTGCTGCCTTGTCCTCTGCACTGAGTCTGGGGGTAGTGTCCTGAAACGCACAACCCGCCTCCATGATCTGTTCGGCAGCTGACTTCTCAGCTTCCAATGCCCGGCGCTTGGCATCAATCATCTTACGGTCGCGGCGGGCCTCTGCTCTTGCTTGCTGCAGTGCCAGGAGGTGATCGGCTTCCGTCTTCTGGACTGGCCTTCTGGGGCTGTCATCTTGGGAAATGTCAAAGTCTGAGTTGTCACAATGGTCTGCGCCCCGCTCTAGCTCCTTGATCCTCTGCTGCACCATCTTTCTGTCCCTGCGTGCCTGCGCTGCTGCTTCCTGCAATTCAAAGAGATGCTTTGCATTGTCTGCGGAGCTCGCCCGGCTCCTTCCGAACCGAGTCTCTGGGGCTTCCACTTCGTGGACTTCATACCTTGCCTCGACCGCTTCCTTCTCGGCCTGGATGCGTTGTTGCACTTGCCGCCTGTCCTGGCGCGCCTGCGCGGCCGCCTTCTGCAGGGCCAGCAAATGCTCAGCCTCCCTGGCCGCCTTCTCACCGGCACTTCCAAGACCCCCAGCATCTGCACTGTGGCTTCGCCAAGCGGGGCCCTCCACCCGCGCCTTCGCGGCCATCGCTGCGTCCCGGTTGCGCCGGTACTCGCTGGCGAAAGGCGACTCAGGCAACGGCGGGCGGCGGCGCTCTCCGGACCTGCGGAGTAAGTCTTCCAGCGAGTCTGCGACCGGTGAGGCCTCTGGGGCCTCTTGGGCGGGCCGCTTGATCATGGTCACGTCATCCTCCGACTCGGGGCTGGCCACATGATACATGGACCAGCCAGGCAGGTTTTCTGCTACACCTCGCACAACTGGACGCTCCAGGATCTCCTTCACAGTTGGCCGCATGTGCGGCACTTTCTGGAGTATGTCGAAGACAAGCTCCCGCAGATCCTGGCTGAAGGAATCAGCCAGGTCCTTCGGGACCGCGGTCACGATGTTGTTGATGAGGGCGGCCATGTTGCTCCCGGTGAAGGGCGGGGCCAAGTTCAGGAGCTCGTATAGAACCACACCCATGGACCACACATCGGCCTTGATCCCGTATGGCTTGCTGTGGCACACCTCAGGGGCAAGATAGATGGGAGTGCCGATCATCGTGATCGCCTCTGCAGCCGTGTGGTCGAGCACCTTCGCAATCCCAAAGTCCCCCAGTTTCACCACGCCGGACAGCGTGAGAAAAATGTTCTGCGTCTTCAGGTCACGGTGCAGTATATGCTGCTTGTGGATGTGCTGCAATGCTAGGCAGCATTGTCCGAAGATTGGCAGTACTTCGCCCTCGCGCAGCACTTCGTCACTAGCCTTCTTCTTCTTAATGAGCTGATTCAAATCCCCCGCATCTGCGAACTCCATGACGATGCAAAGGATTCGGCCCTGCAGAAAGGAATCACAATAAGCAACTATGTTGGGATGCTTTAAGCATCTCAAGACATCGACTTCGTTCTTGGCTTCTTTTTGCGCCAAGGCCGGCATGCGAGACAAGTCGATCTCTTTGACAACACCTTGGCTTGCCAGCCACATTCTATGAAAGAAAGGGCCGCATGCTGAAGTGTGCCTTCGCTTGTCACAACACCATAAAGACGCCAAACAAAAGCTGCCCATCCTGAGACAACCTACTCCCCCAGATAACGTGGAACCCAACAAGCCCCATTATTCGAAGAACAGCCCTCCCTTTTGGGAGGTGGACCCGCATTTGGGTTGCACTTGAATTACGGGGGTGCGCGCACTGAGATCCAGGCGCTGCTGTCGGCTGTTCCTATCCCGCACGAGCACGGCGCAGCCATAAGAGCCACGCCCTAGCTCGCGCAGGCGCTCGTACTTCTCCATCGCAGTGCCCGAGCGAGGATCGCTTTGAACAAGTCGGCTGTGTTTCGTTCCATCGAAGCCTTTGGCCTTTCCCAAACTGCAATCATGACTTGAACACGTCTGAGACACCCTTTGCCAAATTTAAGTGTCTCTGATCGGTTGTTGGTCTTCAGCATTTGGAACCTGCGCCTGACGAACGTCGGCTGAACTTGACTACTCCATCGCATGCATGGAGCCAAAGGTGGCGAAACAAAGAGTAGCCATGTTGCTCAACATGGTTCGCCTCAGCGACCAGCCATCAGCCATGCTCTATCCGGGATGTTCACACAGGGGATCCCCACGTAGTCCGAAATAAAAAACTGAGGATTGATTTCAAACAACCAATCAAGGACGACTTCGCGCCTGCAAAGGGCTGCTGGCCAGGTCTTCCTGTTGGATCAGGCAGGGATATGTAAACAACACGCAACAAGGATTGGAATGGATTGGCAACAAATTTGACTCATTGAATCCGCGGGTCTAACTACTAGTCACACACACAAGCTGTCCTGGCCATGTGCTGCCTGTTGTGGCACTCAGTGCTGCTTCATGTTTAGCACCAGAAAAGCCCTCTGAGAGGGACAGTGCGGTGTTCCGCTTCCTGAGGGGGCCGGGAGCATCTGACAACTTTCCGCAGCTGAAGAGCTACTCATGCTGAGTGCAATTCTTCTCAGAGACGAGGTCGGGCAGGCTCACAGTCCGCGGGTTCATCTGGCTATGGTATGAAAGCTGATGCGTGTTCAGGCTCCTTGATATCATGCCGTGATGTGATGCGCTGTCAAGTGATGTGACATACTTCTGGCTGCAACATGTCTGCTAATGTTCAGGCGCCCCGTTGGGGGTAGCCTAGCTCAAATGGCTTCAAGCAAAGCCTGGGCCTGCCTCGGATGTTCATGCACAAATTCCCAACCAGGGGTTGCCCAAAAGCGAAGGATCCCCACAAGGGGTTGCCACCACTTTATCAACCCGAGCTCATGAATACTGGGTTTCATCCCTTGGTCTGTCCCATGCTTCAGTGATTCAGAGCTGCTCTGCCTCAGTCGTGTTACCCTTTTGCCAATCACTTCAGCACGCTGTGCGTGGCTTGGCCATTCACCAAATCCTGGCTCAACGGGTTCGCATCAAGAGCCAAGACAAGCACACAGGCGCCGTGTTGCTGGGTGGGACGAATCACACTTCAAGGCTGAGATCAGCGTGACTAGGCACTGTCCAAAAGTGGGCTGAAAGTCATCCACGACGTAGGCTGGCAGCTCTAATCCAGCTTGATGTGCGCAGAACTTGCAGCCGAAGTGAGCCATCATGACACCACATTCATTCATGAAATGCAGCTGATCGGCACTGCAACTCATACCCTGCTCCTTGCAAGCATCATCACAAGATTGCCCCGCAGCAGATGGTGTAGGGAGGAGCTTGGGATTGCGCCGCGCTCGCATGGGAACTGGCAAATAATCTTTGGAGCTCCTCCTGTCTGCCAGAAGGACAACAGCTTGCGAGGTCAAATGTCGGCCCACGACTAAGCCGTAGTGCTCCGCACGAACATCTGACGGGATCACACCGTCCATGCCCTCAGGTTGCAATCCGAATGATGGAGCTATGTTCAAATACGTCTCCGACGTGTATGGGTACAAATACACCAGGTCAGGATCGCCCACCCTGGCAGCGGTGTAGATGGACCACTCGTCGTGAGGCTTCCCGACTGGCCCCTCCACAAATTCGCAGCAGCGGCAGCCCCAGGACATGTACTGATTTGGGATTGAAAAAAAGTTGCTGCACTTGCCCATTCCCACAAGCGCCGCGCATGAATCAGCGGAGTCCTGCGCACCCAAATCGATTGCTTCTTGATTGCACTCTTGACCGTGCAGAGCAAGTTGGCTGGAACCTGTCAAGGAATGTGCGGATTGTGCCGCTTTCATCATCCATGCCTCGTAATTCTCTTGGAGGATGTAGTCCACATTTCCAAAGTGGTTACAAGGACCTTCTGAAGAGCAGGAGCTTCTGAGCTGGGCAAGCGCCATCGACTCGAAAAACTGGACCTGCTTATCTGTCACAATGGATGAGCCTGACTTGCTGCCGTGTCGGCTTCGCGGGACTTCGGGTACGATGCATTCCTTGTCCGCTTGCCGAAATGCAACTCTCATCCAGTAATCCCAGCCCATGGTGGGAGCTGACGGCCACTGTCGCCTCAAGCTCAGCCATGCCTCCCGTCTCAACATGAAGCCCAAACCCGGAAAATATGTGGACCGAAAAAGCCTGCACTGATCAGAAACGGCAAATGCGAAGCCGGCATCATTCCAGGCGCTGACACACCAAATGCTTGGATCTTCGGCCAGCAGCCAAGCGGAGCTTCGGAAGAATGCCAGAAAATCTGGTGCAAGCACCAAATCCTCTTCCACAAAAATGGCAAAGTCATAGTTCTGCTTCATAAAAACCTTCTCAAAAGCAAGCCAATAGTGATGAGCAATTTTCCCTGTGCTGGTCAAAAACCAACGTTGTTGCTCTTGATTATCCTTTTCCGCATCCACAGGCCGAGCATTGGCAAACCACACTGCAATTTTCTGCCGGTACTCTCGGGACAAGCCAATAACCACATCACGCATCTCGGAGTAGGCATCTCCATCATCCAGAGAAACGAAGAGGTCAAAAAGACTCACATCATCCAGCCGAAGCAAGGAATGCAAGCAAGCAGCCAAGTCATCGGGCCGGTTGTGCGCGAGAACGATAATTGCTGCATCTAGGTCACTCACAAGTCTGGCAGCAGGCGGCAACTCCGTTGCTTCGACATTCTCCTCCCCAGACAACAGGCAATGCTTGAGATAACTCGTCGCACCTGCGCGTGCAAGCTGGTGCCCAGTCATCGGGCGGCATGCTTTCGTGTCTCCACACGAAACCCCTCGGCAGTGATTGCCAAGGTGAGCGCACGCCGTTTTGGCCTCCTCCAATCCCAGCTCTGAACCAACAGGATCTGTAAACACGGCCCCGGACAGCTCCTTCCAGCTGCATGAGGCATTGTGTTGGAGAGGTAAAGTCGTCGGAATGGGACCAATTATGTGGCTGGAGCATGGTGTTCGGTGAACACCTTCAACAGCTTGTTGTTTCGGCCTCAAAAACGATGCTCCGGCCTTTTGACGAAGGCGTCCCAAACTTGTCGCATCAAACAGGTTGAACACGTTTTGGTGGTGTTGAGCTGCTGTCTGGACTAAAAGCCAGCAACTCAGCGTCGAGGCCAGCAAGAAAAAAATGTTGAGAGCTACTAAGAGCTCGAAGATTGCCCGGAGTGACGGCTTCCAACGTGTGCTGGGCAACCATTGCCTGCTCATGTCTTTGCTGCGTGCAGCGCTGCCTTGGAATCATGTTTCTGAGCATGTTGGCATGCCACCCTGGGCAAAGCAGCACTTGACTCGGAGATACCATGCGAGCCCCCATGGGCCCAGTCCAGCTGACATTTTGCCAAAGCTGAGGTGTCTAACCATGAGTGGAATGAATCCCTGGAAGCCCTGGTACAAAAATACGCATTGCCCGCTTCATATTTGCCACTGATCAAGTTTCAACATGTGAACTAGACCTGGAGAAACGTTGAAAGCGACACATGCCAAAAGTTGATGGCTGCACACACGCGCACACACACACACACACACGTGTATACAATGTGTGTTCCTACTGCTGCACAAACAGCGAGCCAAATCTAACCGCATGTAAGACATGCGCGGTGCGCAGGCGATGCATCACAAAGCCTTACACAAAAACAATATGTACGTGTTTTTGTTTTTTGTGTGTGTGTGTGAAGGCTTGGTGCCGACACGCCTTTACCTTTGCGCCTCATACATGATATGGTTAACTGAGAGAGGCTGAATTGCATGGTTCGAAACAAGTCTTGGACGCTTCCCTTGGAAGGACATTTTCTTTCGCCTAGGATGCATGGTGGAAACCTTTGCCTACCTCAAAAATGACTGTGCCAAAAAGATTGCGTGCTGATGGAAAGCGACGCAGCTTGTCAAACTTCGGCAAGGTGCCTATGGTTCGGAGCCATACAAACGGCCAGTGGCGTGCATGCTTCCTGCCGAACTACTCGACTTTGCCACCCAGCAACATCGCAGCCTGTTCCACAACTGTTAGACAACCATGGGGTAACTGAACTGGGTTTAAGCGGAGTCGTTCTTGGCAAAAGATTGAGCAGCAAAACAACAACAAAAACCACGAAGCCTGAACATCTTCCAGGCCCAGAAGATGCGTCAGCAGGACACCAAGAACGCCTTGCTGGGAAGGGGCCAAGGACCGCGAACCGTAGCCATTTTGGCTCAAGTTCCACCCAAGCCGTGGCCTGGGGGCACGTTGTGTTTCTGCAGTTCTCGGGGCCCCCCGTTGTTCCTCTTCTTTGGGTTGGTGGTTTGGTTCCCGGGGGCGTTTTCGCGTGGGGTTTGTTTCCTCCTCGCCACGGCCGTAGGACCTGTTTCCGGGCGCTGTAGGTTGTTTGCGGCTTGTGCATGCAACGTGTCCTGCTGTCCTTCAACGGTCGCTGCGTGGAGCTGCTGCTGCCAGCGGCATTCTGGGTAGAGGTGGGAGGGACCATCCAGCAAGTGGCCCCGGTTTCGTCCCCTTGCCGGTCGCCTCGGAGTGGCCGTAGCCGCAGCTACGGGAGCAGGAGCCGGAGCGTATCTTCGTGCTCCCCATCCCCAGTTCCCGCGCGGCCCTCCAGGCCTCCCACTCCTCCTCCGGCGCGCCGTGCCGAAAGGGCCGCCTCACCTGCGCGGTCCCGCGGCCTACCCACCAGCGCCGAGGAGGCAAAAAGTGGCGTGCCAAGAACAAGCGCGGCCACGCGGCGCAAACGGGCCCGCAGCGCCATCCCGGGTGGTCCTCACCCCGGCGGCCGAAGCGCCTCCTGCAGCTACCTCGCCCTTCGCGGTTTCCTGCCAGGCCTCTGCAGCCGCTTGCCGTGCTGGCCCGGCATCCGCCGTGCCGTGTACCACACCGCTAGGGCCTCAGCTGCTGTCGCCCTTCGCGCCGCATCGCCAGGCGTGCGCAACCTCCTGTGTCCTGTGTTGCTGGCCTCACGGTCGTGCCCGACCACGCGGCCGCTACCCCGGCGGCTGCTTCCCCGTTTGCTGCCCAGGCCTTTGCTGCCCCTTGGGGCGCTGGCGCACGCGGCGCCGGCTCGGGCCGCGCCCGCCCCCGCCCAAAACTCCTTCCAGCCGCGGGGCCCGGCGCAGCAGCTGTCGCCTTTCCAAGTGCTGGGGCCCTTCCAGGTGGTTCCCGTGTGGCAGGGTGCTGGCTTCGCCCACCCTGGCTTGCTAGCGTCGCCAGGCGCCGGGCTTGTTTTGGGGGAAAACCAAAAAAAGAAACAGCACACATCGAGCCTTTGCGCTTTGTTGCGCTGGCTTGCCAGGCCTCGCTCCGCGCGTGCAGAGGAGCCAGAGCCCTCCGCCTTTGCGTTTTTGAACGCTGGCGCGCCAGGACACCACTTCTACGTTCTCGCTGCTGCCCGGGGCTCAGCGCCAGGGAAGGGGACGTTTTTTGTTTTGTTTGATTGCTGCCCTGTCTCGGACACAGCGTGGCCAGTCACCAGTTTTCGCTCGCCGCGGGCGGACAGCACGCGCCCAGCGTGCCGTGGCCGAGGCCGCTGAAGCGCTGCGGACTGATGGCTTTCAGCCCCCCGCGTGGGACGAGCTGCTGCGCCTTGACCCGCGCGGCCAGGGTAGAGACTTTGGCGATTACAGCCGTGGATGGCAGCGAGTCCGCCTGCGCGCGCCGCTTCCCTTCAGCGAGCAGGTGTGCTCCTGCCGGGGCGCGCTGGATGCCGTGGCAAAGGCAAGGGCGGCGGCAGGGAGGTGACCGTGGTGGAGGCGGCAGCCAAGGGCAGAAAGGCAAAGGCAAAGGACCAGCGCACCATGGACAGCGTGGGGGACTCCGAGCAGGAGACCAGCGGCGGCTCTTGGAGGCAGCAGCGGCCGGGCAGTGGGAAGAACTGCTCCAACACCCGGGGAACGGCGCCGCACGACCCGCCCGACCAAGTGTCGAGTCCCTCGAGGAGCGAGGGGAACGGGCAGCAGCTTTGGCCCAGTTAGGCGAGCTCTCGGCTGCGGCAAGGGACGCCCGCAAGTCCAGCAGGCGCCCATACCCGCAGAGTGCTTTCAGGATCAAGCTCGAGGGTCAGCAAACGAACAGCGCTCTCCGCACCAGATCGCGTGGACAAAGCAAACTGAAAGGGAGAGCAGGCTTCCTGCAAAGCCTCCGCCTTCTGCTGGGCAAAGCACCGCGCAACCAAACGGCGGGTGAAGTCGCCGATCACGATGCCCCGGACTCGGCCGTTTGGTTTTTGGAGAGCGACCATGCGCCCGAGGCCGAGTGCCCTTGCCGCGTCTCTGGGCACCGCCGCCTGCGCAACAAGTTGCGTCACGCGGGCGAACAGATCAGAAGCAAGGAGCACACGAGCGACCTCAACCGTGAGGCCCGAGGGTCCTGGGGCAGCTCCACCTCAAAGCGCCTCATACAGTGACTCATACAGCTTGGCTGGGCGCCGGTCGGGATCACGAAGCTCCTGCAAAGTCTCGGGGGTGCCTGGGGCCAGCGCACTAGACGTCAGCACCTGTCGTGCCGCGGACAGTTTTCCAAGGTGCACGAGATGGCGTGCGCGCTGGGCGGCCGGGCCGCGAGGGTTGCGGGGTCGCTACCTTCCAGGAGTTGGGTCCACCGCCCCTCATTAAACGCCGCGAGGCGTGCAATCCACTCATGCTTGGGCAGCTTCCGAACACCAGGACTGCGATGCAACCGCATGCGTGGCAACAGGAACAGCTTCCGGGCTCGCATGGATCGCTCCTCGTGGGATCCCGCGTTGAGGATGGCTGACAAAGCAATAGCCAGGGCGTGACGCAAAGTGCAAGCACGGCGCTGGAGTGTCTGGAGCAAATCCACGGAGTCAAGTCGCACCAGCGCCCGCTGGAGCTGCCGATGCCGGCGGCGGCATGGGGTCGGGAGGTTGCGGCTCGCTGTCGGAGTGGCTAGCTGTGTGGATCAAGGGGCGTGGTCGACTGCTCTGCTGGGAGTTGTCGGGCCGTGGGCTGTAGCCACTGCCGGGGGCGACATGTGACGCTGCTGTGCTGCGGTTGCCGCCCCTGGATGGTGGGCAGGAACGGCCTCCGCGGAGGCGAGCGCTGCCGGCGCTGCTGGCGCGGCTGCTGCTGGTGCTGCTGCTGCTGTTGCTGCTGCTGCTGCTGCTGCTGCTGCTGCTGCTGCTGCTGCTGCTGCTGCTGCTGCTGCTGCTGCTGCTGCTGCTGTTGCTGCTGCAGCTGCTGTGGCCGCTGCCAGGGGGTGGCGGTGCGCCTGCCTGGGCGGCGGCTGGAGGGACTGTCGTCGCCTGTGCTGCGGGTGCTGCCGCTGCTGCTGGCGCGGCCGCTGCTGCGGCGGCTGTTGTCGTGGTAGCGGCAGCTGTTGCTGTGGTTGTGGCAGTTGTTGCTGCTGCGGTTGCTGTTGCTGCTGCTGCTACTGCTGTGGCTGCTGCTCCAGTTGGTGCGGGGTTGCCGGGGGAACTGACAGTGGTGCCTGGGGAGCTGGCTGGGATCGGAACCGAGCTGCGGCTGCGGCGAGGGCGGCCGACCCGCACTCCCCGAGGAAGCACAAAAGCAAAGCTTCCTGCGCGGTGGCGGGGATGTAGCCGCTGTTGCGGGAGCAGCCTCGGACCGCCCAGGGCACGTAGATGGAGGCGCTCGAGGGTGAGGGCGATAGCTGCAATCCGTCCTGGATTGCCGCTGCTTGCTGGGCCTCCAAAATGAAGAGCAAGGCTTCAATGGCTACTGGAGCTGCACAAGTGAGATGCAGCATGGCCGCGCGCCAGATGGGTTCAAAGAAGGGGTGGGTTTGCCAAGCCGACGCAGCTGCACTGCGGAGCAAACCTGCGGCCGATAGCAGCAGGGGAACGGAAAGGACCTGCGGGCCGGGGAGGCCGCAAGAAAACCAAGGCGCTTCCCCGGCGATCGGAGCGGCTGGCTCAGCTGGCGCTGGCTGCACCGTGGGGGCTGGAGCTGCGGAGGCGGAAGCAGCGGCAGCGGGCCAACCCCGTTCACCGTAAGCGACATCAACAGCAAGCACACGGGGTCCGTGCACCGGGCAGACAGGGACGACCGGCACGTTCTGGAGCAGGGGGTGATGCTCGTTGCACCGCAGGCACCCACTCTGGGTCCCACCTGCCCGTACCTCGGTTGAAGACGGGCATCCATGCCATGTGGCGGGAAGGCAAGTCCACCCACGCCCGGTCAGAGTCGGCACGCGAACTGTCCACTAAGGCGACATGCTGGCAGCAAAAAGCAGTGACAGACGATGGCGGAGGGGCGCAGACTCGGGAGCGACAGGGACAGAACGAGTGTTGTATGACGGGGCCGCCTGAGGCAAGGAGACCGAGTGCGCGGAACACTGGAAAGCAAAACGCTCCTCAGCAACCGAAGTCCAACCAGTACGACAGAACGGCAGGACATGTGGCGAGAG